TAATGCATTAGTTTGCTGGGGTTCCCATAACAAAATGCCTCAGACTAAGTAGCTTAAGCAGCAGAAACACATTTCTCATTGTTCTCGAGGCTGAAAGTCCAAGATTAAGGTGTCAAAAGGTTTGATTTCTTCTGAGGCTGTCTTGAATTGTACATAGCACCTTCTTACTGTGCCCTCACCTAGCCTTTCCTTTTCTTCTTGTTGTGTCTCCATATGGTCTTTTCCTATACATCCTGATGTTTCTTTATGTGTCAAATTTTCTTCTTATAAAGACACCAGTCAGAGTGGATTTAAACTACCTTAAACCCTCATTGTAACTTAGTCACTGTTTCAAAGTTTCTATCTCCAAATACAGTCACGTTCTGAAGTATTAAGTGTTAAAGTTTCGACAAATACATTTGGGAGGGACACAATTCAGCCCATAAAAAATACTTAGGCACATTTGATTTTCAAGTTCTGTGCTTCTTAATAGAAAAAAAAAACCAATTACAAACATTTTTCAAAAAAGTCCATCTCAAAATTGATACAGAGTGTATCTCAGGCAGAATTGTTAGATTTAGGAAATAAGGACACAGGACATAAATTTAAATTTGAATTTCAAATAAATAATTTTTAATGTTAGTATGTCCTGTGGAAATTTGGAGACATTCAAATTTAATTAGGCATGCTATGTTGTATCTGGAAATTTAGTTTTAGGGAAATAGGATGGAGAACACATCCTATTGAGTCATTTTTATGAGTGCTACACTCTGTCCTATTGTAAGGTCAAATTTCCTACATGGGAAACAACAGAACCTTCCACATGAGTTTAGGGATCCAAAAACAGAGAGAATTAGGTCTCGATTTTCACTTAGAATTCTGAGAGAAAACAACCTTGTACTGTGTCCTGTGACGTATGGGACAGTTACTAGAAAAGAATAGTAGACTGAATCCAACAGAAAAGGCCTCAGATAACCATTCCCCACCATAACATACCCCGTGACTATGCAAGAGCACTTCAGGGCTTAGCTGATTGTGGAATTCCCAGCCTGAAATGGTCTCATAGTTAAGGCTGAAACTCAACGCTTTTCTGACAGTACTCTAATTACAGGTATTTCAGAGTTTATGAGCAGGGATGGCTATTGATATAGAGTCAATATGGCCACAGGCAACCAAGAACAGCCAGGGATGATGTACTTCAGAAAGCATGTGTATAAATGTCATTAATCAAGGATGAAAATCCTCTTCCCAGACTCTGACAATGTTATTAGCTCTTCTGCAATGTTGAAATCCCACACCCCAAAAGAACAGCCAAAAGCAAAAGGAAGTATTGTGAAATAACTGTCAACCCAAGAGACACTGAATTTAAACTCAGTGAACTAGTTGAGTTAATCTTGAGTTTATCCATGTTTTATTTCCAACTGTACTGCTGGCAAAATCAAGATTGTCCATTACATGTTGGCGAAGCTAACTTCATCTTTAAGCAAAACTTAACATTTATTTTACATTTCAATGTACTACTCCATCATTTGCAATCTTTTAGAATCACAAATTCTTCTATTTAATGTTTTAGCTCTCTCTCCAAGAGAAACTCATTTCATTTTTAAGCATTTGGTTCTTCATCTAAACACAACCTTTATAAGAAGTTTTCTACTAGGGGATTTCATCTCACAAACTCTACTCCACCATAAAAAATAAGAATGCACAAAAAACACAGCAAAATTTCTAAGCTTCTCTTTTTATTTCAAGAGAAGAACTAGAGAATAGAAAATGAAGTATTTTTATTAAGAAATTTAAAGATCTAAAGATGATACATTAATTGAAAAATATTTCTAATGCAGAACTGCTGCCATCTAAAGGCCTCACACAGTATTACAAAATAGCTTTATTAATTTTAAGGCATAAATAAACTTTGTTACCCTTTAAGAAAATTATATGGGCCAGAAAAGATATGTTTATCATCATAGGTTATATAAAAAGTTGAACATTCCAATGTTTAACTTGGAGTATTAGAAAAGGTCATTTTAAACTAATGAAGGAGAAGTCATTCTCTTTCCAAAAATAACAGTTTGGCAAAAAAAAAAAAAAAGTTTGTACTGCATATTTTAAAATACAGTGTCATAAATCTATAAGCAGTCATTTAGTCTATTATTTCGGAGTCTAAAACCTGAGCTAACTGATCACAAAGTTAATATTTAGGTAAATGATGAATGATTAAATTAAGTAAAAATCATAGGTTAAAGTTGTTAAAATATAGTAATGTCCTTATGAAGAGACAGGTCAGTTGTAATAACGAAATTCAATTTTAGAAAACCAGCAACATAACTTCTTACTACTGAGCATTTCTAAATTATTATATAACTTTATAGTTATAAAACTCAGTAAATGGAATACTTTTGAAAACACTAAAATTCACAGCATGGTGTTTGTACTATGCATGAGTAAAAGTGTCTAAATTTAAAAAGTGAACAAAAATCATCAAAGCTTATTTCCATTAGGGATCTTTCAAATGGCTTTTGTAGTTGTTGTTGTTGTTGTTGTTACATTTAATACAACAATGCTAATTAGAGTGAAATCCGATTATTGACTGTCTTAGTCTAGTCAGGCTGCCTTCACAGAATGTCACAAACTGGATGGCTTCAAATAACAAAAAATTGTTTTCTCACAGTTCTGAAGCTGGAAGTCCAAGATCAGGGTTGAGTTCTAAGTGAGACCTCTCTCCTGGGCTTACAGACAGTCGCCTCTCATTGCGTCTTCACACGGCCTTTCTTCTGTGCTTGAGCTCTCTGGTGTCGCTTCCTTTTCTTATAGGTCACTAACTATATGGTTAGGGCCTCAACCTTATGACCTTATTTAACTGAAATATCCCCCTTAAGACTCTATTTCCAAATACGGCCACATTAGAGGTTAAGGTTTCAACATATGAATTAACAGGCATACAACTCACTCTATAATACTCATGTATTCAACATATCACTCAAAGAAACTAATTGGTATCTGAGTCAAAGACTGAACTTTTAGATGACAGAAAAGTTGTGTTAATTTATGAAAGTTTAACATGCTGGAGAAAGGAAATATCTTTATTTAAAAATATGCTTTATGAAACAAAGTGAATGCTTGTATTTAAGTTCAGGGTTCTATATGAATGGGGGAAGAGAGAGGAAACATGTTCTTAGAGCATTTACACTGAGGTTTGAAATAGTGGACAGGAAAACGTGAGTGGAGCACCAGAAGTATGCTCTTCCATAATGATGGGATTGGATAATTTGCAACACTCTCCCACCAAATGTAAATGATGTGGACTCTAGCATGAGGACTCTTTGGGGGCACAAGAAGAATATATTAAATATTTTGTTATTCAGCAAGCAAATATGACTGTCAATGAACATGTCTAACTGCCAACTCTCAGACCCAGGGCCACCTGGTTATAGTCACAGTGTGTTTTAAGAGTGTCCCATGTTCCATACCCTACTCCCCAAAATTTCCTGTCCCCAGTTTGACTCATGTAAGGAGATTTGTAAAGGACAATTTGCGTTAGGTCATAAAGAAGCAAATATTTTATATTCTTCCTCATGGAAATGAATTTACTAGTAATTTTCCCTACTTAGAGAATGTCTAAAGTGCCTATTCCTATGTTAAAATAGAATCTCTTCCAAAGAGACTTGGGGCCTTCAATATGTATTCTGTCTGGAAGTCTGATTGGGGTAGGACTCCATTGCAGATGGCAAAGAGGAATGTGAAGGTCAATGCTCCATGACCAACCAACATGAAAACGAAAACAATCCAGCTTTTTCCCTTTTGGTTCACAGAAAGTAAAGAAGTGGTTGTTGGGCTCAATCTTCAGAATTCTTTCTTGTTCCTATTCCAGAGATTTGTTTGGGGCTTTTAAGAGTTATGACAGAATAAGTGATCAATTTATTCAAGTGCGTCTGTTAGGAATTGTAAGGGCCCTACCTGATTGCACTGTCTATTGCACTAAATTAATCCTTTGATTCGTCTTTTAGCCTCCTAAGAGTTAGTATTTGTGAGGGTTAAATGTAATTCTCAATTATGTTTTCATTATGCTATCACTTGATTTTTCCTATTAGAGGTGTTCCTTTAAATTTAAAGATAATAGATTTGTGATTTCTCCTTTAAATGAATAGCTGTAGGGTAAAGGTAGCAGCATGCTAGTCCTTCACATCAGGTACGCTGTAAGAATTAAATGCCCTACACCATGCATTGTCCATATGAATTAATTTCTTTCCTCTACATCTAAATACTAGTACACATAGTCCTTGAAGGGACTGAACAAATTGTCACTCAAATCATTTTGTGCTAACTTTAAAACCTGCTTGAAAAAGTTTTGTCATCTGTAGTATACACTATATACACATACGGAGTTTTCTGATGTCCTTTCATTTAAAAAAGTTCATCACAATTAAAAATAGGATCACCAAATAACAACCATCCTTGGCCAGTATCATTTTGAAAAGTGGTCCCTGACGATATATATTTTTTCTAGTGCACTCCCAGGGATGAAATGGTAAAAGATGAGCCTTTCATCTTACTAAACTATGAAATATAGAACTTTTAATTCTATCCGTCATCAGAAATCTCATAGGAGGAAAGACCTGCCAAACCGTAGGCTGAGACAGAGGGATATTTATTTTCGCATAAAATTTTTCCATTAGTTTATACTATTCCACACACAAGAATTAAAGGATAAGGTTTAACTAGGATCTCCCGGCTTCCACAGCAACTTGAAGACAGACGGGAGATCGGATTAACTCTGCGGTGCCCCGAAGAAGAGCCACACGTCAACAGGGCCTTAGTATCGCCCTTCAACTGCCGCGGAGCGGCTCCGCTCCTGCTGCGGGACTGACCGCGGGCTGGGGACACGGAAGCCTGAGCGCAGGTGTCGGAACGTGCGAGGGACGGGGCGGGGCGAAGCGAACCCAGGGGCGGCACTCGAGGGCTCGGGTGGTGCCAGGAGGCCGCTTGGGTGCCGGGGCAGCCTCGCCCCGCCCCGCCCCGCCCCGGCGTGTCTGGCCTGGCCGTCCCGCAGCGTTGCGCGCGCGCGCACGATCCCCGACCCAGGCACCGGGCAGTCTCTTGGCGCAGCCATGGCACAGCACTTCTCCCTAGCCGCCTGCGACGTGGTCGGCTTCGACCTGGACCACACCCTGTGTCGCTACAACCTGCCGGAGAGCGCCCCGGTGAGTGGCACCGGGCTGCCCGGGACGCGCGACGGACCGCTTCCATGGCGGCTGCGCCAAAGTGGCCGCCGCGCAGGACGCAGACTCCGCCCACCCGGTGGGGCGGAAGTGCCCGTAATTCCCGCCCCTCCCGGAGTGCGGCGGCCTGGGCATCCTTGCGCGGAGCGGAGTTGGAGGGGGGAGCGAAGATGAGGGGCGGAGGCGATGGATCGGTCATTGGGGCAGTCTGCAGATCCCAGGCCTTGGAACTTCTTTGCAAGTCCTTTTGGGCACAAGCCACTCGGATTTTCCGTGTCTGCACAATCTTGAACGGTCTAACGATCACCTGTCAGAGTTACAGCCAAGAAGGGATTTTGTGGTGTATGAGAAAGAGCACTGCCCGAAAAAGTCAGTAAGAGCTTAGCCCGTCTTTTGCCTTAAGCATACGAATAAAATAAGCATTTATTGCGCACCTATTACGTGCTAGGAGTCTTAGACTAAATTGCAATCCTGATAACCCGTGAAATTTGGGCCCTCACTATGCGTTAGGAAAGGGAAGGTGGAGAGTATTAGGATTGTAGACCGGTACTCTCATAGGAATTGTCCTCTCTTTTCTGTCCCTTTGGTTTCAGAATTGTGAAGCGTTGACAATATTATAGTGAAACGTCTAAGCATAACCAGAGCTGGTAATGAGCACTGTAGTCAAGGGAAGGTTTTGCAGCCAGACGGCCTAGCTTAGGACACCAGCACCACCAAGACTAGCTATGTGACTTTGGGCTACTTAATCTGTGTTCCATCTCAGTTTCCCTTTCTGTAAAATGAGGCTAATGTTTTTTTACCTGAAAAGATTGTTGCAAGGATTAATGGGAAATAGATGTATAATTCTCAGAGAAGTTCCTGGCAAAAACAAATGTCTTTTTATGGTTTCCACCCAAGCCGTTTGGAAGTCTCACCCTTTATAGGAAGACCTCCAGGTCAGTGGGCAGACATCAGCCAAGGCTGTTGATACAGTCATGTCAGGGCCCTGATCAGTTCAGCTATTGGAAGATTAAAGACAAGTGGCTTCTGAATTACTTGGATGTTTTTTCAGTGCACAGATGCTTTTAAAAAGTGTACTTTTCTTGCTGTTGTACTTTTCTACTTTCCTACTACGTACATCTGGTTTTGTTAGTAATACTGAGAGTCCAGGGGCTTTTCCTTACTTCTTGATCCTTTAGCCACTCCTTCCCCTAAATCTTTGATTTGTATTTTCCTTCCCTCTGTGCCTTGCAAAAATCCCTACCTAGTTCACATTTGCTTGTGCACTTCCTCTGTGCTCACTTTGATTTGCAAGGGATACTATTAAACCACTGTCATGTGAAGAGCCAATTTCAAGCATGTGTAAGCATAAAATTTCAGAATGTAAGATCCTCAAAGACAAGATACTATTTTTAGGCCTGGAATATAAGTGATATTTAAAGGATGAAAACAGTGACTTGGTGAGTTTTGGATCATGTTTGGTATAGAAATCTTTTATTAATCCCACCCTGTGCTGAGCACCAGGGTAGAGTCAGAGATAGACACAAGCCACACATAGGTTTCAAGCAGCCTGGCTTGTGTGGTGGCCTGGTAAGGAAAAGATGGTGAGAAGTTAGTCTCAGTGCCTGTGGTGAGGGCAGTATTTCCTGGATCTAGGACAGCTACTGCCTGTACATGGAGGGCCTTCTCCCTTCCTCACAATGACTCTTCACCCTGCCAGGTCTCATCTTAACTACTGTTCTGTATGACAATGTACTGCAGATACCAGGTTCAGTAAATAATTGTTGCATGGTTGAATAACCAAATTTTGATAACAATGCGACACAACCACTATTCTAATAAGCATTCTGCTTAAATGAACTGATTAAATCCCTACACCCTCTTTGGAGTTGATAGTATCACCAGTCACTAAGGAGGGATGAAAACTATAAGGCACAGAAAGGTTAAGTATCTCTGCCTCTCACCACTAAGCTGTCTGTATAGTACCATCAAGCATAGAGGAGAGGCCCTGGGTGGGATGAGTTGGAGTTGGCAGTTGAGGATGTAGAGAGGAGCACTTCAAAGGAAATATAGTAAAGGCAAAATCCTAGAGAGGAGCAGCGGCATGAACTGCTAGGTATTGTTCAGAAAGTGGGGAGTTGCAGAAGATACTGGAGAAATTATCAGGGAACATTGCATCATGGAGAGCTGTGGGTGCCTCTCCCTTCAGTCTCATGGGCACTTAACAAGTGCAGACTGTCCTGCAGATGTGGACCTGCGTATGTTCCTAGGGCATTGGGAAAGGCAGCCCTGAAGAGATACCAGATGACACCTGTGTTCTCCTAGGGTTGCAGCCCATAGTTCTGGTACTAAACTGGTCTCCTAAATGTATGATTGGGAGTGGGGTGGTCTGAGAGCCAAGAAAATGTGTGCCCCATCTGAAGGCACAGCCTCAGTTGATTCATGCCAATATTAACCATGAAGGGGTAGTCTTACCAGCTCTTCTAATTCTTTTTTGGCTACTTGTAATCCAAACTTGTATGAGAAAAGTTTCAATTTTTAAGCATTACCTCATTTTCCAACACAGTAGGATTATAGAGTTGCTAGGTTTAGCAAAGAAAAATACAAGATACCTAATTACATCTGGATTTCAGATTACAAAAATATTTTTAGTATATGTAAGTCCCAAATATTGCATGAGACATGCTTATCCGAAAAAACTATTTGGTGTTCATCTGAAAATCAGATTTGCCAAGGGAATCTTTATTTGTCATTCTTTGCATAGGAACCAAACATAATTTGTGGGCTGTATGCGATTTACAAGGTACCAATTTGTAACCGCAGCGGAATGTGCATTATTGTTTGTCATGTGAGACTATGGGCATAAGTGGCCACTAAGGCTGGGGGAGGAAGTAATGGAGGGGTCTGAGTCATGAAGGCTCCTGGGGTGACTAACACAAGTGCCACTAACCAAGGCCTTAGGACTAGAACAAGGGTTTGAAAGTTCAGAGTCCTCTGATTTTCTCAACACCATTTTCCTCTGCTTCCTTCTGCACATAAGCCAGTCTATCTCTCCTATTATGGAACTGTTTCTCCAACAGGGTAGGGCACCTACCTATGGATTCCATGTTGGCAGTGCCTTTCTCCCAGGAAGGGATCTGACCATATTTTAGGCTAATCACAAAGGGTTGAGAAGCTCTACTTGTCCAGGACTATAAAGTGCCTTGTCCAGAGAGGTGAGTCTAATGGGGCTGTAAGTCTAGGCTGGCTCTTAGGGGCCTGTGAAAGCCTGTTAAATATTTCAGAAGCGTTCAAGCCCATGAAGTGTTGATAGCTTAGTGGCAATAGTGGGAGTATTTGCACCATGGAAATGGGCAAGCACTACAAGTCAGAGTGGTGTTTCTGTTTCTTGACTAGCACATGACTGATGATAATAGCAAATACTTAAACTGAATTTGCTCATATGCCAGGCCCTGCCCTAGGTACTTTAGATATATTCATCCCATGGCACAGGTCCTTATGAGCAAGATCAAGACATGTGCTTTTATTGTCCATAGTACTTTGTACCTCACTGTGACTCAGTCCATTTTCTTTTGTGATTGTGTGAAAACTCATAAAACAAGTAGGTCAGAGGTGTTCAGTCCTCCCTAGGCTTCAGGAACCCTGTAAGTACCCCACCTAGATCCTTCCCTTCCCTGTGGACTTAAAATCTCTGGTGGTTTTCAAAAGTGACACTTGTGGTTCTGAATCACCTCCAGGTTGAGAACTGTTGGTATATAGTGTTTGGTTTTTGTTTTTTTTTGTTTTTTTTTTTGTTGTTGTTGTTGTTGTTTTGCTGTACTGGGGCTTGAATTCAGGGCTTACATCTTGAGCCACTCCACCAGCCCATTTTTGTGATGGGTTTTTTTCAAGATAGTCTTGCAAACTATTTGCCTGGGCTGGCTTTGAACTGTGATCCTCCTGATCTCTGCCTCCTGCGTAACTAGGATTACGGTCCTGAGCCACCAGCACCGGCTATAGTGTTGATATAATGTGCATCTGTTAACTCTTGACCTATATTAGGGTCATATTGCAAGGAATGGGAGTACGTATTTAGTGATTTAATTCGTTTCAGGACAGAAAGCATACTCATTTCTTTATACTCACACCCCAACACCCCTCCCAAATCTAACAGTGTGTAGGCCCTTCATTTTCTGCACTTGGCTTGCTCTCCATCTCCTCTGGATTTACTCATTGCTGTATCTTCCACATACAGGGGTAAGAGGCCTTCCTCAGTCCTCTTTAGCTTTATACTCTCTCTTCCCTTGTATTATGTGACGTCATCACAACCTATCACTAATATCTGTAGAAAAAGGGTCAGATTGTACAGTGTTTTTCTGGACAGTCCAACCAAGATCACTGTTCTGCCCAGCTCAAATGATCTGATGCTGGCTTAAGAACACTCTTTCAGGTAGAGTGAGGTAGGACCTATGTGGACCAATATCTACCCTTTACCCACAGTTCTTTAAAAATTGAGTCAGTTTTTATAAAAGCAAAAACAAGAGCTTGTTATTGTTGAGAAATCAAGAGCTCTGTCAACAATCAGATCATTTATCCTTATGTTTCATTTCAAAAGCTTCCCTTGTCCTTTGTCCTCAGCCATTTTTCTTTTGGTGGAGAAATAAGATATTCTCCTGTATCTGATCCCTCCTTTAAATCGTCTGCCTGGTCCCCATGTGTATATCACTTTGAGATTCCTCTGAGATAAGATAGGATCTTTCTAGCAAAGATGGACCAAGGACAAATGTAATGATGGAGTGCTCAACATGTTTTATCATCTCAGTGACATATTAAATAAGTTGCAAAGCATTATTAGGTCTTAATTATGATCTCTAACCCATTAGAATTTAGGAGTGAGATTAATAATCATCCTTGCTTGTTAATTGTATATTGATGGTATAATTTTGGACAGGACAGTTATCTAAGACTTGCAGGTATTGATAAATCGCTTGTAAAGGAGGCTTAAACTACAGAACTATACAATTTCCCTCCTACCTGTCCCCGTCGGTGATTCCATTATGTTTTCAGGTCTGTGACACTAAAAATGAACAGTGAATTTTATATTTAATCTCTTTTTCCTTTCCTTATTTGCAGCTCATTTATAATAGCTTTGCTCAGTTCCTAGTCAAGGAGAAAGGGTATGATAAGGAATTGCTCACTGTGACCCCAGAGGATTGGGATTTCTGGTAAGTTCTTTTCTTCTTTTTTTTTTTTAATGTCTGAACAGTCCCTGTTTCTTAATTGTTGCTGATAAAATTTTAATGCTTCCTCTTCGGTGAAGGTATAAAGTGAAATGTGAAATTGAGTCAAAGGACAAAATGACTTCTATAGTAAAAGTTTTGTGTTTAATGAGTTAAAGTATTTCTACTTCAAACAAGTTTAAACTTGCTTAATTAACCATGAAAATGAGCTAAGAGTTTATGTGACTAATTTGGATTTTTTATAGTTTAAGTTCGTCATAACTAAGGGTTTAAAAGTTTATTAAGAACTAAAATTTATGTCTTTATGAATAATAGTTTGTTTTATTATCCTTCAAAGAAAGAATTCTTAAGAGAGGAGAATTCATCATGTTTTGAGTAAGTGACTGAATTAGGACATTTGGTTTTCTATAATTTGGATAGACATTCTTGTTTGATTCTTTCTACTTACTCTCTTCCTGATTTAGGATTTTCAATTTCCTTCTCAGTCTTCCTTCTTCATTTAAACAATAGAAACAAAGATCATAAAACCACTTTAAATTGTTCTTTTTAGCTAGGTCTGGTTCCAGCTACTCCAGAGGCTGAGTCGGGAGAATCATTTCAGCCCAGTAAATCAGGGCTTGCCTGGGCAATAATATTAGCTAGATCCTGTGTCAATTAATAAATGAATAAATCATTTAGTTTGAAATTAATAATTATGAAAAATACATACCTAACATTCATCTATTATACATCCCTCCAATATTTGCTTGGTCTTTTGATATATCCTTTATGTACATATGAGGAAGAAACAAAAAGGTCTTACTATTTGAAATTTCTGGCCCTGGAAAATTACTGTGAATGGAAGTAAATAATGCTTCTAAAATGCCCTTTCATTTTTATTTAATTCTCTTGGTATTTGCAGACCATTATACCTCATTGCTTTTATTATTCACAATAATGAATCTATTCTCACTTTTCTCCCCAAATCCCACAAGTCTTTTATAATGAGGAACTTAAAGCTAAGTGTTTGACCATCTCTTACTGGTTTTCCCTTGAGGGCAAATTCTTATAACTGGACCTGAATTGAGGCAGATTCTAACTAGTATAGAAGACACTCTGGCTAAGACGTTAACTTGTAATGTAAATTTGCATCCCTGGATTTGTTTGTATACAAGTTTCAAATAATGGAAAACACTTGCACCACTTTTTTCATGTTGTTTTTGGTGGTATTGGGGTTTGAGTTGAAGACCTAGTGCTTGCAAGACAGATGCTATACCATGTCCTTTTTTTGCTTTAGTTATTTTTCAGATAGGGCCTTGCATTTCTTTGCCCAGGGACAGCAAAAAAATCACCATCTTCCCACCTTCACCTTCCATGTAGCTGGGATTGTTAGGGTACGAGGCCGGCCACCTTCTGAGAGGACAAAGGACACTTGAGACAAAGGAAGTCACAAGGCGAGATTTATTTTCTAGCTAGTTAGGGTCTGAGCATCCGCCTGATGCAGCAGGTTTCAACAAGGACCCTGAATGCAAAGTTTAAGCAGGTCTTATACTCCTTAAAGCATCAATCATTGTCACATAGGAATTCCTCATGCCCCTGGGGGTCACATTTTCCTGACATTGCCCACATCCTGGTGGTGGGTAAGATTATTTATTGGGAACTGGAGAAACACCAGAGGTTTACTTATCAGGTTTACCTGTCAGGAACTTGAAAAACACCAGATGTCTTAACATATTGACTCACATTCCGTTCAGCATGATCAATCAGAAACACTCCCTGCTCCCAGGAACCGTTTCACCTCCCTTTGTTCCAGGGAGTGGGGCTCGAGGTTACCCAAGGTTCATGCCAGTTATAGCTGATTTTTAGGCTAGGTGGGCTTGCAAGTTAAAGTACCCCAATAGGATTACAGGCACAAACCATCACATTTGGCTTGTTTGTTGAAATGGGGTCTTGCTAACTTTTTTCCCAGGTTGGCTTCAAATAGCAGTCTTCCTCATCTCTACCTCCTGAGTAGCTGCATTTGCACTTTTTAACAGAGGCAGAGGATAATGTTCAGTCTGTTTTTTCCTCATTTGGTTTTCAGGTTCATCTTTTTAAGAGCCTAAAAATTTTATAAACTTAATGTGTTGCTCTATGTTTTCCTAATTCACAGTTTTCCTCATATACTTGTGTGGACATTTAATTTTGCAGTTCTTGGATATTCTCATTTGTTTCATTAACATATCATTTGCCTGAGCAGGAGAATCTTTTTCCATCACTGCAACTTTTTTACAAACATGAATTATTATTTCTTAGTTAGCTAAAAATATGAATTGATTGATAATCAAACTTTTCTGTTTTAGTTGCAAGGGTTTGGTATTGGATCTGGAAGATGGCACCTTCATTAAGCTTGCAGATAATGGCACTGTGCTCAGGTAATAAAACTTAGCCACAAAGTCAATGTTTTGCTTTCTGCAGAATGCTTTATTACCGTATGATCCTTAAGGTGTTAGTTAAATAAGATTATAATTGGGCTGGAGGCATGGCTCAAGTGGTAGAGCACCTGGCTAAGAAGCATGAAGCCCGAGTTCAAACCTCAGTACTGCCAAAACTAACATACAAAAGATCATTTTAATGAACTGAGATGACAGATAATCTGTCTTCCTGCATGTCTTTGTGTGAATTGTTTGTGACATTTAAATATAAATCTTGTGAGCTTTGGGCTAAAAGGTCCAGTTCCTTTAAGTCTAGCTCATTAGAAATAGTACAAGAAATATAATAGAAAGTTAATAATATGCTTCATTTTATTGACTGCCTTTATTAGAAAAAAGCCTAGGAATTACACTGCTTTAGCCAGGTGTGTAGGTGACTAGATAAAATCAGCATTCTTTTGATTAAGAAAGAAGAGAATGGATATCGGGTTGAGGGTTGATGGTCTGTGTATATATCCCTTCTTTTTCCATTTATCCAAGTTTATGTCCATTATTCACAGCTCATGTTGTGTCCCAGGTCCTTCTGTAAGTTTTTCTAGACAGGTAAAACCCTGACCAACCTCTCCCTCTCCTTGTACCCTGTGCTGGCTTCCTTTCCTTCTTGCCTTTCTTATGCTTCCCCAAGTCTTTTAGAGAGCACCAGAGAGTAAGAATCTATTTTTTGCCTTATACTAATAGTAGGGTCACATTAACATGACCATAAGCTGCACCATTTATTATTTATGCCAACATGATCAGAGTCAAAGTAGAAGACTCAGCACAGAAACCGTGGTATATATTCTCTTTTGATATGTCATTCTTTTTGCATGATTTAAATTCCTTTCACATTCTCTTCCAGACTTTCCCCTAAGATACTAGTGCCTCACCTCTAATTAGTTTGTAATTTGCTTCAATGCTTTTTCCCTCCAGCAACTGGAGTATGAATATATCTGTGTGTATGCCCATATATATACGTATATATATATACGTATATATGTACATATGTACATGGTGCAATTTGACCATGGCCTTTAACTCCATGGTCAGACTGGCATAGTGCTCTTGTCTTAAATCATTCTGTCGTTGTTAATGTCTGCCTGTTCTTCCCCATTCAAGTTCTGGCTAACCTGTGGTTTCTCTTGAATTACTTAGCAAATTTCCCACTTCTTTCATCCAACACAGCAGATTCCTTGTCTGTTTATATTTCCTATTCAAAATTCCTCCATCTTGACATACAGAATTCTAAAATTTATAAAAGGAGCTCATTTGTGGTTTTCTCCCACTTGCCCTTCTTTCTCATTTTTTCCTTCATATTATTTTGCTACCACAATGTTATAAAGTATATTTTCTCATAATAAACTACATAAAATATGAACTATTTCTTTCCATATGTGTTAAGGTTCTCTTATCAAGGCCCAAGTACTGCAGAAAACAGTATTTTGAACATAGAAAAAAGCTGCTTGTACTTGCTCTGTTTCACCCATTCTTTTTGCTACTTACCAACATGCTTTTGCCTCTGTTGTGTCAGATCACCCCCTCTTTTTTTTCAGTGAAAGTGATAGTAAAATTTATTAGGAAAACAATACACTTTCAATACGACAATATTGTAGTTAAGTTTATTAGCATAAAGACACTTTCAGGAGTGAGAGTGTATAGTCTCAGGAAAGGAGGTCGAGGACTGGAGGTGTGGCTCAAGCAATAGAGTGCCTGCTTTGCAAACGTGAAGCCCTGAGTTCAAACTCCAGTTCCACCACAAAAAAAGTGTGGGGGCGGGGAAGAAAGAAAAATCAAAGGAGGGTTTCCCACTCTCATCTCCACAGTCCCTTGTGCTCACAGTTATCCATCTTTGATACCAAGGTACCTGCCATACTTCCTGTGGGCTTGGTGCGGATCATGCTCTTTACTCTGTTAACCTGCTGTTCTCCCTTACTTTTGCCAGAACCAGCTTCCCACCCAATCTGCAGAGTTACAGTTATGTTCATATCTCTCTCTGTCTCTCTCTCTCTCTCTCTCTCTCTCTCTCTTGTGTGTGTGTGTGTGTGTGTGTGTGTGTGTGCGCGCGCACGCATGTGCACTGGTGGCTCACACCTGTAATCCTAGCTACTCAGGATCAGGAGGATAGTGGTTCAAAGCAAGCCCAGGCAAATAGTTCACAAGACCTTATCTCAAAAAAATCCTCCACAAAAAAGGGCTGGTAGGGTGGCTCAAGGTGAATGAAATCCCTGAGTTCAAGCCCCAGTACCACAACAGAAAAAAAATCCTAGAAAGAAAAGTTACCAGTTAAAAGCAAAAAATACAAAAAAGAGTTGGACATGGTGATGTGTGGCCAGCACTTCGGAGGCTAAGACAGGAGATCAGCTTGTACTATATAGCAAGGCCCTGTCTCAAGAAAACAAAGCAAAAAAAAAAAGAAAAACATGAAAATTAAGCTTTGTTAGCTCCAGCAGCAGAACAGATCGGTACTCTCAGTGCTAGAGAAATTGGTGATCAAGGACCTTTTGAGCACTGTGCATTGTCTTCCAAACCAGGGCAAGCCATGGCACCAAGATGATGACTCCAGAGGCGGTGGCAGAGGCGTATGGCAAGAAGGAGTGGAAGCACTTCATGCTGGACACTGGCATGCCTTGCCGCTCAGGTATGACTCAACGTGGGTATTGCCACCATCCCCTTCCAGTATGTTTGGGATCCTAAACCTACAACATGAAGTACAAAGAAGGACCCTCTGTGCCCTTTGCTGGACAGGATGCACAAGGGAACAGCCTTGACTTTATAACAGTAGAATGTATTTTTCTCCAGGTGTGTGTCTGATTTTTATTTGACAGTTGGTTCAAAGTGTTGTTGGCAGCATTTTCACAGTTTTTATTGAAAGATTTGTTGATACTCTTTACTAATGCGTGTTCTGGAGTAAGAAGATTAGCTCTGGGAATAACACATGCCATTGCCAGTCCATCTTCTTTATCAGTTTGTTTCGTGCTCAGTCCTTAGCTTCCTTTCTCTACCTCCCATGTCCACATTCACATTGCCTGCCACTCCCATCTCCTATGATTTTCTTCCTTAATGGCTCTTCTAGGGTCTTCTGCCTTTGTCTTTTATTTTCCTGTGTTTAAGATGATTTTAAACCATTTTTTCTTTTCCAACTCCTTTAAAGGGCTTCACCAACGATAAACATGAATAGTATTTCAAAAATTATTTACAGGCTTAGGTGTGCATAAATTAATATGGAATGGTTAAAATGTTTTATTAACAGATAGACCTTACTAAAATTCTAAGTGTTGCTTTTTCATTTGTTCTTTCTTTTGCCATTTTGCTCTTCTCCCACACTGCACCTTTGGCCTGAAAGTAATGACAGTTATGCATTGTTACTACTGTGATAGCTTTGCTTGTTATGTTTGCCATCTTTAGATTTGTTCATGTTTTTGTAGTGAGTTAAAAGTGTCAGAGAGTATGAGTGCTCATGATAAAATGAGTTGCTAAGAAAACCTGATTTCTCCTTGGGGTTAGATGTAGAATGCTTTCATCATACATTCAAGTCACATGAGTGCATAGCCTTTTCCTCAAGTGATAATACAGACCTACTCTTGTCTCTGCAGAGGTTAGCCATTGTAAATAAGTTCTTCCTTTCTCCTACGTAAAGCTAGTCACGTAGCTAAGCATTTCTCCTCAGAAATTCATTGACACAACATTTGCTCAAAACTTTACCCACTGGAGGGCGCACTGTGTATTTGAATCAACAGCTCCCTCTGGTGCTCAAGGCATCCAGAAAGGTGCTCTGATTTTATCTGCTCTTAATTGATTAAGTAGATGTTCCCCTTCCAGGGCAAGCATGAGGCCCTGAGTTCAAGCCCCAGTACCGCCAAAAAAAAAATTCTTTTTAAATGTTGAGAAGTATGAAGATGAAAAATAATGTTTCATAATTCCACAACCCAATTACACTCTGTTTACACTAAAAAACAAAAACCAGAGAATATGGTTAAAATAAATATTTTTTTCTCATAAACTTCTGAGGAGATGCAAAAACAATACTCTGAGGTGTCAAAAGGTTGGGATGTTGGTTCCTGACCCTATTATTTGAGTTGGTAACATGTGCCATGAGAGAGAGAGTGGCACTATTGTGTTTGAGGTGAGATGATGCTATTCAGTAGCATATCTGGCATTCAGTAGCATGTCTGGCTGGACTCAGATGATGGGCCCAGGGATGTGACAGGGGCCGTCAGAAGTGTTGCCCAGGAGCAGCAGATCCAAAATGGCTCAAGCGCAATTTTACTGTGAGGCCATGCAGAATAAATCCAATTTCTCTCTTCCGTGATCTCCTGGAGTGTGCCTGCCCTGTATTTTGAGTTTTTCTGGGACAAACCACTATGTACTTGGTGAGACAAGCCACTATATACCAGCCACATAGCATGGTTTTTATTCCTCTCATCTCCCTGGTTGTTTCCACGTTTACTGAAAGTTGTCTGAAATGACATAAACATTGAATGTGGTACTCTGGGATGGCGTACCATCACAGGTATGAGAAGGCACTAGTGGGCAGAGCACTTCAAATTTGGAATTCAGTGACATTGATAGCATGAATTAGTTTTCTTCATATTCTAAAAGCAGATGTATTCTGCCTTTAGATTTTATAAGACAACCCAAATAGTTTTGAATAGAGTGCTTAGCTTACAGATGTCATATTTTAACTTTTTTGTAGTGTCCTCAGAGCTTTTGCATTCCTTAAAAGGCAAAGATAGCCTTAGTGGGCCATTTTAAATTGGAATGAGGACTCTTCACTGAAATTTCTTATGAAATCTCTGTATCCAACAAGTAGTATCACTGTGCTCTGTGTTTGTTCAAGGAAAAATATGAAACAAATAAATTGTGCCTCAAATGAAAATAAAAACAAAAGAAAGAAACAAGAGCTCTTCAAATAATTAAACCAAAGTCCAGTATCTCTTCAGGCAAGTTTCTATTTTTCCACATGTATGATGCATTAATTTTTTCCTAAACTTTTATTCTTTCTTAGGGAAGTATTATTTTTATGACAACTACTTTGACCTCCCAGGAGCTCTTCTGTGTGCCAGAGTAGTAGACTCTTTAACAAAGGTAAATGGGTACTTATTTTTCAAAAGACTATGATAGTCATAAGTAAGAGAATTATGTATAACTTTCAAGGTCTAGTGTTGTTTAGTTTTCTCTCAGTGGTTTCAGAGAAGACTGAGTAAGAAAACCAGGGTGAATTTGGTCACAATATTTTTGGGACATTAAATAGCAGTGACTTTTTTTTCCCCCCAGGGAAAATAAACCTATTCTCCAGTAGGGGGTGCAAAAGTCTAGAAAAAGAAAATACAGAAGTTGTTCTGGAAAAATATTTTCTTGGTTTCATTAGCAGAATAAAAAAAGTAAAGATAATTAAGAAAGATTCACGTGTCTTTAAATAGTCTAAATACTCAATTTATAACCCCAGTCATATCTCCTGTAATGACATACTGCTCTTTTATGTTGACATGCGGTTTAAGAGGACACTGAATTGTGAAATCACCAGCTTTGAGGGCTGTAAGGCCTCTTGGCCCCATTGATGGTATAATACACTAAGTAACTCATTCTGATGTCACAGAAATCATATAAAATTGTAAATTTGCTTATGTGTTCAAAATATTATGATTTTTAGACCTCGTAATGAGTAGAAATTTTTTCTTCATAAAATAATGAGCTATATTAATATTTAATGATATATTTATGTATATATGTGTGTGTGTGTATAGCAGTGATTTTTATGGAATATTTTTCTTTCTAAAATCACATTCAGTAGAATGGGAACTTTATTAATCTACTATGGTTTCTGAAGCATAAATCCCTATCTTAGAATACAAATATAATTATTTACCAGTATTTTCTGCTATGCTTAGAAACAGAATTATTGTATTTGTTACATTTGGAAATTTTTTTTTTTAACAGAACAGTGGTCAGAAAACATTTGATTTTTGGAAGGATATAGTTGCTGGTATACAACACAATTTTAAGATGTCAGCTTTTAAGGGTGAGTAACATGAAGAAATGCTTCCTAACAGATGTTTGTTAAATGCTGTGTGCTTACTGAATTAGAAAGAAGTTGCATCTTTTGCTATGCTCCATACGTAGGATTTAATTTGGTCTTAAATGTTGCTATAAAGTAAGTTCTGCTTACTTTTTATTCATGTTTGTTTCATGGTCATAATTACCAGTGTTTCTGAGTTGTGCTATTAAGCTATCTTTTACATGCCTGCTAGTAAGGTTGTTCTGTGGGCTCCCAGGAATTGAAATTCTAGTGTTGCTATCTCTTGGCTTGGGAACGAGGACTGGTGACACCCATATCCATTAGTGTCATAGTTACAGACAGATGGGTAAAGTGCCTGCTGGTGGTATTTTCATTTGCAGGTCTGCTTGAGTTACACAAAGGCTAGTTCTCAGGAATAAGTAGAAACCTGTATAATATGTTACCCAGTGTCTTGGATCAGACTGGCTTGGTTCAATAATTGGCTGATGAATGCTCAAGACCAGCATTTTTCAGCTTAGAAACATGTTGCCTTTTGATTGACATTAGAAATTTGTATGCCTTCCTTTTAATGTAAATGAAGTCATCAAAATAATTTTAAATATTATGACTAACATGCTAAGGCAATAAACAATGATTATTCAAATTACATATTTCTCTGATACCTGCTGCTTTCCCTTCCAGAAGAAAATCAGTGCTTTCTGAGGGTGATTTCTCACTTTTCTGTGTCTACTCATCAGCCTTTGACCCCAGCTGCATGCTATTTTGTGGGTTCTCCTTCACTGTCCTCTGTGGGTACTGTTGGGTGCTGGATATGAAGATATCCATCCTCAGTAGAGAGAGATACCCATGACAACTATAAAAGCCTCTCACTACTTCATTGCTTTTTTCTTCATTAACTTTGTGTAATGAAAAGCCTTAAGTGCATGGCAAGAATAGCAAATTGTTGATTTCAAGTAAATTCAGTTAAAAATCTATTGATGTTATTTTATTGCTTGTTGATAATGAGTAGATTAAGCATTTCATGCTTTCATAAGTGAGGCACAGCTTAAAAGTGTTAAACAGTAATATAAAAATACAGTACAGAGCATAAATAAATAATATCTTTCCATTTCTTGTCAGATTTTGAAACTTTAATTATAATTTCACTGGAATAGGAGGCACAAGGTACAAATATTCCTTTGTTTACACAAATATTCTGTAAACTCATAAAATCATATAGCGATTCAATGAGGAATGAAATCAAATTAATCACACTGTGTTAAGTAAATAAGACTAGGTCAGACACTTTACCAAGTTGTGTCAGATGTATAGAAACTTTTTCTGCAATCACAGAAAAATTTTAAAATGTTTATGAGTAAAGCACCATGTATTTCTGATTAATTTTAACACACTATTTTTGTTTCTCATGAGAGTTTCAGAAAGTATACATGCACCTGTGTATCCAAATCTTTGAATCACTCTTGATGAAAGGGGCCATATAAGCATTAGAATAATGCACCATCAGAAATACCCTAGGTATAAGGCATCTTTTAAATTTCACTATTCAAGTATTTAAGTTCTATAAGGTTATGTGAAACCACCTGAAAGTTTCCTAGAAGTTCTCATATTAATTATTAGAAACAATCTTATTTTTAAAGAAAATGCTGAGTTTCAGAAATCAAATTTAACATGATTTAGAATCCTATTTGTGGGTTTTTTGTGGTAATTTTTTTTTTTACATAAATGAACTTTTATGGTGAGTTTTCAATATTGAAGTTTACAGAAAACCCCCAAAAGGCTTCAGGATTGCTGACTAGAAACTCATAAGGGTCTTCACATATTTACTGTTGTGCTCATTTTTATAGGGGAAATTTTTTTTTGGTCTGAAAATTCAACTCTGTATTTTGGAAAATGAAAATTGCTCACATTATTTTCAGTCTACCTCCAAATGCATCTTGTGGGTGGGATGGAATTGGGGAATCCCTTTTCAAGCAGAAGATTTAGACCAGCTTGGTTGGAAGTGCTCACATGGGGGCTACTAGGAATCCTGAGAAGGAGGAATGAACATACTCAGAGGAATATAGGCCATTTGACTCAGCATTGGGCAGCTGGAGCCACACCTGGTCATTTTCTGTGAGCTCTATTATGGCACTTCCTGAAGCCTGATCCAGGTAGCCTTTAGTATACTCGTCATAGGTGTACATTATGGGGGTGCCATTCTTATATAGGCCTACCCAAACATGAGTCCCCTTCACATGCACATGGTAGGAGAAATAGTATATTCCTGGCATCCTACAGGTAAAGATTCCAGTTTGTGGGTTATAATGCTGTTGCCTGTTATGCAAAATCTTATCAAATGGGATGGGAGCACCTACTGCTGGGTAAGCTTTGGAGAGAATAACAGTAAAAGCAGATACAGGCATTCCTGTTACTCCCTGGTTGGCACTGACAAGAGGCATCCCAGAAAGACTGGGCCTTTGCCCTGACTTTATAAAGCTGTCAGGCATGGCTGCTTGGCCTGGTGGACCTGGAGGTCCTGGGGGCCCTGGGAGACCAGGTTCTCCATCGTGGCCTCTTGGACCTGGAGGCCCTGGTGGTCCAGTGGGTCCGTTGAGGCCCTTAGTTGCTATGCCAGCTGGGCCAGGAGGACCTGGGTTTCCAGGATCACCTTTAGATCCAGGGAATCCTGGAATACCTGGTGGACCAATGGGGCCTCTAGTACCTGGTATTCCCGGAGCACCTCTTGGACCAGACTCACCGTCATGTCCAGAGACTCCCTTAGCTCCTGTTGGGCCTACAGGGCCTGGGAGACCAGGAGGTCCTCCAACTCCAGGGTCACCTTTTGGGCCTGGTAACCCTGGGTTGCCCTTAGGACCATTGAGACCTGGTTCTCCTGGATACCCAGGTTTTCCATCTAACCCAGGGGGACCCCTTGCTCCTCTAGCACCAGGGGCTCCTGCAGGCCCAACTGGCCCTGTCTCACCTTTAGGGCCTGGGATGCCATTGTTGCCTGGGATACCTTTTGGTCCTTTGGGTCCCATATTTCCAGGGGGTCCAGTCAGACCTGGCTCCCCAGGATGACCTGCAGGCCCTTGTTCCCCTTTGGCACCTGGACCCCCTGGCAGGCCAGCAGGTCCTCTTTGACCCTTCATACCTGGCAAGCCTGGCTTTCCAATGCCAGGAGCCCCTGGAGGCCCATCTATTCCTGGAACCCCAGGGTGGCCTTTTGCTCCTGGGATCCCTGGCTGGCCTGGGGCTCCAGCAGCTCCTGGCTTTCCAATGCCTTCTGGTCCTCGTTCCCCAGGAGGACCTTGGGGCCCTGGTGGACCAGTTGCTCCCTGTTCTCCTGGAAAACCCCGATCACCTTTGATGCCTGGCTGTCCCGGAAACCCATTTTCACCTTTTTTTCCCACTCCAGGAGGGCCAGGTGGTCCTATGGGACCCTGAGTGCCTGGAAGGCCCTTTTCACCTGGATGGCCAGGAGCACCATATCCTGTTTCCCCTTTCTGTCCATTCACACCAGGGGCTCCTGGTGCTCCTTTTTCTCCAGGAAAGCCCCTAGGTCCTGGGGCACCTGTAAGTCCCTGTTGTCCAGGTTTTCCTGACACAGAAATTCCAGCTGGACCAGGGATTCCAGGTGGCCCTGGTGGGCCCCGTGGTCCTGGTAAGCCAGCCGGTCCAATATCTCCTTTTGGTCCATATGGTCCTCTCTCCCCTGGTTTCCCTTGGAGTCCTGGCAAACCTGGCTTCCCAGTGGCTGATAGTCCTGGTGGTCCTGGCAACCCTGGCTCTCCTTGGAGTCCAGGACTTCCATAGCCTGGCTTTCCTGGTAGACCGGAAGGACCCGGGTGTCCTCGAGGTCCAGCGGGGCCTGGAGGACCAGGAATACCTTGTTCTTCTCTTACTGATATACCTAAAAGACACACCAATACACCACCCGATAGGGAATGGTTAGTATTAAAAATAACTAGTGCTTCTCAAAATATGAATCAGAAGGGGTCGTTCAGTATCGTTCACTCTAGACCTGTCTTAGGCAGTCTTTAGTGCATTCAGGTGATATAATTTATATTGTTTTAAAAAATACTTCTAGGGATGATGGTTTCACAAAACCATGATCATTATAACATGCTCATTACTTCGTACTGAGCCATAAAAAATATGCTAGCATTGAAAAATTCCCCTACAATAAGTGTGAAGTGAAAGTGAATTTGCCACATTTGTTTTAGGAAAACTATCTACATATTTGACAAGAAAGAAAAAGACAAGTGGGGAATAAATGAAAAAATATTTAGGAGCTATAAAAGCTATGCTAGAAGATGCAGGTGAAAATGGAATTAAATATAATTTATATCTACCATGCCCTACTATATTTTAGGTTTAGACTGATTTATTTTATTCTTAATGTATACTGTGAGCTTTTGTCCTCTCCTGTATTGATTTAAAATTGAAACAAAGAAAGAGAATTAGAAATAATGGGTGAGACACATAAAATAGCCTGAAAGTGCTTATCTAAATACAAATAAATAGTTTAATTTCATAAAACTACTGGTTCATTTGACTGAAATATTTCTTCTGGTGTGCTTAATTTAAATTTAGTAATCCTCATTCAGGATTATGATGAGAAAATGCTGTTGGTCCACAGACATGGGGGAAGTGCAGAACGTGTCCTGGAGGGGCCTCAGGAAATGAGTGTGTATAAGATAAGTGCTTTAAGAGGTGTTCAAGGGCTGTTTTATCATTCAGATTTGGGATGGAATAGGGCATTGCAGGCATTAATATATACATAAAGGTTATCATGTCTTTTGGCAGTAATTGTCATAAATAGCTACATAAAATATTCTTTAGTTCTCAAATTCTTGAGTAGCTATCAAAGATGACAATAAAATTACACATGGTTTTTAATGTCCAGTTGTAGAATTTATATTAAAATCATTTTCTGCTTACTAAATTTTATTTTCTGTTAAGTAAATTTTCATTCATAGAATGCCTGTTTATACCATTTAGATTCTTACACTGCTGGAAAATGGTTCACTGTAATGTTGACTTAGACATGCTCAAAATGTAAAAATGATTTGTAGCTACGAACTTTTTCTTCTCCTTTTTTTTTTTCTGGTGGGACTGGGTATCAAACCTAGAGCCTCACTCATGCTCTTCCACTGAGTTACATCCCCAGCCCTACAAGGTGACTTTTGAGCCTCATCTTTTTATAGAAAAACAATTAGCAGACTTAAATTCTAAATTCTTAATGGCTTAAAATAACAAAATGAATACTAAAGGGAAAGTGAAAATATATTTTTATAAGTATAGTTCCCTTTAGGTATTAGCCATTGGTATACAAATGTATTAAAAAATTTTTAAAGATCTTGTACTAATTGAGTCACATGTAAAAAGTAGTCAGTGATACTAATATTATTCTCTTAGGTAGAGATTTGAAAACCATTTGTTATATACAAAATACAGAGCAAATCATTAAAATAGATATGCTGAAATAGGAAGATACTTCTATTAGATTTAAGTAGCTTTATATTTTGAATTAATTGGAGTTATATTTCAGTTTGCAAACAATGAAATGTATACTGCTTTTGCCAGGGAATTTGAGAAAGTGATATCAGGAAAAAGACTATAAGAAAAAACAATTTGTGGAAAAGTTTTCATATATTAACATGTATCTTACTGAATAACCTCAAGTGTACCTGCATGATGTCTCCTTATGTATAAATGGATGTTGATACATTCAGATAGAATACATGAACAAATAAAGGATTTCTTAATGATTTGGAATAAAATAGCATATTCTTTAAAATGCCACCTATTGTGATTTGCTTCAGAATCTAATTATAAGGGTCATGTTTATATTAAAACTAATTGTCTTTGTCTAACTGGAAATATGTTTTACTGTAAAAGAAAGAGGAAAAAAAGAAGTCTTATTGAAAATTATTGCATTGGACACCATCTGAGGCTAGACTCCAAAGACAGGGTGATCTTGTCACTTGGAATGTTGCTTCAGTGGGCTTTAATCCTCTCAGTGCAGGAAAGAATTTGATTTCTGTTGAATCCTTGGGGAATAGCCCTTGTTTGTAGGTTGCCATCTGAAAGAATAGGACTAGGGTGGCGCCATCCTTAAAGAAAAATGACTACCTACCATTAAGTTTCTTAAATGGCCACAAACTGAAATCATGGCTGGTTGTGTCAGAATGTGGCATTGGTGTCTGTCTAGCTGTCTAGCAGCTGAACTCTCTTTTAGCCTGTATTGAGCATATATACATAGGAATTATATAGAAACTCTGAATTTCTGTTACCAACTTAATGTTTTACTGTATAAGGTGTGGGCTTTTATGTTTGTTATAGTGTGTGAATGCCTGTCAATGAATGGTAATGTATTTGAGTTTCTCTTACCTTATCAAAAAGAAACTAAGGTAGATTTAAAAGTTAAAATACAGCTTCTAAACTTTTCATCTGTTAACAAAATATTTTCATTTGTTCTGGCAAAAATAGGATGATGGGAAGATAGAAAAATGCTTAACCTTCTAAAAGCAGTACATTTTATTTTTAATTCAAAATTGTTTATAATGATCTTGCTATTAAAAAGTCTGAACTTGTGATCAGAGAGCACTGAATCCAGTGCTGCATGTCATAGAATTTCAATCACATCTCTTGCTTCAAGTGAAGTAGGTTTCTTTGTCTTTTACCCTTTCTTTCCTAGCTTTTATCTTTTTCTTATTTTATCTTTATTATGAGCCATTCAAGATTATCTGTTGTGCTCTTATTTTTAAATATTAAGCTACCTTTCATGAAACATTTTACATTTTGTCTTTCTTTTTTAAAACAGTCTTGTAAGTTTCCTTTGCTCAAAATGATTGTTCCCAAAAGAAGATTATTTAAAGTTTATAACAAAGAAGGCTTTGGCTTTCTTTACAGAACAGAATATATGGCCATAGTGAAAACATGGAAAGGAAATGTAAAGCCTACAACCACTTTATATTATTCAGTTTTACAGGCAGTTTATAGCAAATGCTATAAAATGGAATTGGTGAAGATGTGACCTAACCATTACCCTTCTTGGGAATCTTTAGTACTTTACAGGTTATCTCAGTACTCTTTGTGGTAAGAGAAAGCCAGACAGATAAGGAGTAGATTCAAGAGGACAGTTAAAACTTATCTTGGGCGGTACCAGTACAGTAGAAGTGGAAGTAGTGTGTCAGTGTAGTAAGAGCAAATCATAAAGCCCCGGACAGATGCTGGCTCATCCCAGCTTCACAGCAGCCCTGGAACTAGGTGCTCCATGCTTTATAAATGAGGAAACTAAGATGCAGGAAGAAAAATACTTACCTGAGGCCACATGGCTAGTCTGTAGCAATTAAGAGTGTTCATTTAACCACTAAACTGTAAGAATGTATAAATAATTTGGAGAATTTCTACTTCGTTTGCCTGTTAGACTTATTGGGGGCCATCAGGTTTCATTTGATTAAAACCTGTTTTGTGTATATTTTATAGTTGAAGGAGTTTTTAAAAATTAATGTTTAAGTATTTAGCTATATAAACCTAAATACATCTTGCTTCTTTGTGCCATTATTTTTAGTTAAAATTCTAAATTTTGATTGGATTATTATTTCTGGATTATAGACAGTTATTTGTGCAGAAGCATGATTTAAGAGGAAAAAAAGATCTCCATACATAAAAGTCCTTGAAATTCTTCAGGTGTATCTTTCTATTATATTTATTGTATGCGAGATAATAATGTTCTTTTGCAAGCCTACTTTTCCCACAGATCATTTGTTTTAGGAATTTGGCATAATTTAGGAATTTGAAAATAGATTAAGCCCAGAATTGAAAGCATTTTATTAAAGAGAAGCTCTCCATTAAGATTGTAGAAGCTCTAACCAGCTGGTTAATAGAATAAAATAGAAAATTCATTTACCTCTATTCTTTATGCTGTAGGGAATGAAGAAGTGTGTCCTGGTGTTGGGTGGTGGGCCTTTTATACCTGTGGGTGTTTGGTACCGCTCAGCATAAAATCCTCCATGAACCAAGTTCAAGAACATAAGCAGCAAAAAGGCTATTTGTGGCAGCATATTCTCAGATGGATTCTAAAAAACAGAAAAGAGGAATTTCATACAGCTTTGTATTGACCTGTTTTATTTTTCTTATGTTGCACAGATGAATTCTTCAAACATTTTTCTTTCTTTAACCTGATCCTCTGTACTTTGAATACATTCCATAAATTAATGTGAGATGAGATTTTAGTTATGTGTCTTACTTGGTTTTAGAAGCCACATTCAAGTAATCAAATAATAAATAAAATGATTTACAAAACAAAAAACAAGTCATCTTTGGATGTCTATATTATGTCAGAATGGCTTTATGTCAGAATCTCTGATATGGCCTGAAATATCTAGTATTTCAAAACATATTGGGATCCAGATTTAGAATTATTTGTAGATAGAAACAAATAAATCTTTTTGAGTGCATTTTGATAAAAAGTCATTTTTAAAAATCATGTACCACACACACAAAAAAGAAAAGAAATCAAAAGCAAATAGTCAACTTATTGAAGCTTGCTTCCCAACAAGCTCACCTGCAAGTCTACCAGTGACACTCATTCCATACACCTACCTGAGTGCTACAAGTTCCTGGAAGTTGGTGTTGTGACAGCTTTCTGAGGCCTCCTCTGCCTAGATGAGCAGTGCAGAAGTTGCCCTCTCCAGAGCTGCCCTAAGGTATTTATACTGTTTTTCCCTTACTGCATGAGGTTCACTGAGTTTAAGCTCCTCCCTTCAGAGGTGGTAAGTGCTAATTATGGTGGAAAGTTCTATTGGGCAGGGAAACAAAATCAGGTTGGGTTCTCTTTTTCCTTATTTTCTTATTGAAAAATAAACTCTTTGTCTGAAATATATATTAATAGTTTTAACCATATGCCATCTTTTTCTGTAATTTTATTTTAGAAGTTACTACACCAGTGTTGGTTCATGATAGAATGATGATTCTCTCTTTTTATTTTTGAAAAGCACATTCTCATGTTATTTGGTTGGAAATATTTGGTAGTATGTAAAAATAGGAGAAATGTTCTGTTTGGAGGGATATGGATTGAAGCCATCAAATAAATTCTTTAATTATTACATAGCTTTCTTGACAGTAACATCCCAATTGCTACTTATTCCTAGACTTGAAAGAAAGGAACAAAATAGTGAAGGTATAAGTTTACTGTTTTGCATTTGGGGATTTTAGTGTAAGTTCTCATGAGTTAATAATCTCATATTATATTTATTTGTACAATGTTGTTATGCTCATTTTAGAAGAAAAAATTCTTCATGCTTTGCTTTTATTTTTTAAAAAATACCATTGGTTTATATTACAATTTCCTTCAGGGATCTTGAATCATCCCAATTAGAAACATTTCCCCCCAAAGATGAAAATAAACATTACCATTGTCAATTGCAGTAGTTAGTATTTTCTTTTATAACACTAAATCTAGTAGAGACAGGAAGTTGAGAGAACAAATTTTGTATCTTACTGAATTTGATAATTTTGGATCTAAATCAAATCAACTGTAAAGGTGAAGGAGAATTCCATATACAGTAAAGATATATCTTATTGTATCTCTCTAGAATTAAAGTGGTATGGATTCAGGATTGATCAGTAAGTATAGTAATTGAATGTTTGATGGGTAGATAAACTAAAGGTTTGTGATTTTTTTATCCCTTTTGCTTGCCCTTGGGCCAGGAATGTAAACAAAACATCTTGTAGAAATGTAAATGTATAGCTCATTCTTACTTCTCTTTCTCCTCTCAATTTTAAACATTTTCTTAATTGCCACATTAAAAATTTACATTATCACTTATGTCTCTATGTAATTCTCAGAAGCACATGAAATAAGGCTTTTATATAAGTTCAGAATATCAGAAAAACCTGAGAGCTTATATTCTAGTCAGTCTTTCATCATTTGGAAATTATATATGGAATAGCTTTTGTAATTATAGAACTCTGCTGCATGGATAAGAGACCACAAAAGATAATTGAGAGAAAACAACTGTCTACCATTTGTGTGGTTTATTTGGACAAGATTTTGAAAAAGTAAATGAGGGAGTATTATGGTTATTTTCTGTACTAGAATGAAGAACTTGTTTTGCAAGGAATTTTTATATTTTATGATGGAAGTATATTATGTGTATGTATAAAAATAACATTATGAAACTCACTAAAAATTCAAAAGGAGGGAGGAGGAAGGAGAGAGGTTAAAAAAGGCTAATATAGATGGGTTGAATTCAATCAAAGTATGTTATATACATGTAGGTAAATAATAAATAATTTATGATAATAAAAATTTTTAAAAATATATATTTTAATAATTTTGTGTATTGTAACATACATACACATACTCTTTTGTTTGTAATTGAAAATGATACTGACACCCTTGTTAGATGTTATTCCTTTGAATGCCCAGAGACTAATTCTCAGCTCTTCATTTATAGCACTTTGCACCTGTGCATACCATTTGTTCAACTTGGCTACCCCCAACTATTCAGAGTATTTCATCTTAAGTTTTCTAGGTGTCTGTTTTTTCATTAGCACAATGACTTCTCCCAGTTTTATAATTTGATTATTCTTGTGGTCGAGATATTCTTCCCCTTTGTCAGACTGTAGACTTGGCTCTATTTTGTACTTTAAAGACAAAAAAAATCCATATTTGGTTGTTGTATGTCTTCTTTGGGGGCTATGTAAACATATGTGGGTATTTATCATTCTATATTTCCCCTTTAGCCTTGGAAAATGTGGTGTCTTTATTCAGATTTTCAGCCTTTTTTGCAAATAGAATACTTATTTCAGCACACCAAACATGACTACTGTTTGCTTTGTTTAGTCACATAAGAAGTAGTGTCTTGTCCAAAACAGATTGTAGAATCAGAATATTTACCAGCCACATTCAACCCAATTGTGTATTTAAAACTATTTTTAAGCTGGGTGTTTACCTGTAGCTGTTAGAAGTGACTAGTCTGTGGCTTTATGAAGGCAACCCATTCCACTTGAAACAGAGAGCCCTACTCTAAATTTGAGTAACTTTTTCATATCAATTATGAATGGTGTTTTTTGCACATCTAGCAATTAGCTACTAGTAAGCTCACCTATTCATTTACACATTGTTTCATTACTTCACCAAATATTTCTTGATACCTCTTAAATGTCAGGCATTGAGATAAATATTGGATGAATAATGACATTCCCAGCTCCTAAGGTGTTTGCACCATGGTTCTCAGCCTCTTTTCCCCACTCCCACAATCCTTAGGGATGTAATACAGTTTGTGCAGTCTTTAGGGCTCATGAAGATAGTGGTGGTCAAGAAAATGTATTTAGCAAAAGCTCCTTGGATGATTGGACTCCTAAATTGGAATGCAGATTCTGGTACCAGTGTTTCACCAGCTTACCTAACACTACCTAATATTGTGTTGTTTGTGTTCATATTTTTTCTTTATTGTAGAAAATGTTGTTCTTCCCTAGAAGTAGAGATAATGATTATGATGAATGACTAGTACTTGTCATCCCACTTAAACTAATCTCAACTCACTGTCCCTCAATCCCTCTTCCATCCTCCACCTAAATTTTGAAACAAATTCCATATATGGTACCAGTCTACCTATGAATAATTCAGTATATTTCTCCAGAAGAGAAGAAATAATTTTTAAAGCAATACTTTCATCATCTCTAAAAAATTAACCATTTCTTAAAATCATCAAATGCATAAGTCCACATTCACATTTCCCATTATCTATCTTATGTGTGATGCATTCATATATAGGCATATATACATAGATTCACAAATATATGCATACGTATTATATAGATACCTGCATATTCATGTATTTTTAATGATGAATTTATATTTTGTTTAAATTAGGCTCATGAATTGCCATTGACTGTTTCTTACTTGTGTCTCTTTTTGCCCCCTTGTAGCTTATTCATTGAAAAAGTTTGTCATCTTTTCCTGTGCAATATCCTGGGATCTACATTTTGCTGTCTTTTAACTTGTTTTTCTACAAATTGGTGGTTAGATTTATAGTGTTGACTGGATTCAGGTTTCAGATACACACACACACAAATACTTTTCGGGCAAGAATTCTTTCCGGCTTTAGAAAGTGATAGAGTATCTTTCGGTCAGCAGGCCCCTTTTTGCTGGCTGTCTGTGGTGTTACTGACATTAATAATTGCCTGGATTAATTATTTCATTATAGGTTATAAAATGGTCATCCCCTTTTGTTAAAAAATGTTACCTGAGCTATAAAACACGCCTTGATCAGCTATTTGGTTTTCAAGATGTACAGTTTATATGGAAAATTGAGGATAAATGTATTAAGGATTAAGACAATCTGCTTGCTTCCTGGCACCCTCCAGAGGTGACCCAGAGAGGTGCTATGTGTATCTTTGAGCATCATCATGAACTCACAGATTTAGCTGTATTTTATGGTTTCAGTCTATGGCTTTTTTATTCTTAGTATTGCTCAGATTTTTTCCCTGATTTTGGCCAGTGAGAGCATCTTCAAATTGACCCCAGAGTCCTTTAGACATGTCCCCAGCAGTCTTTGTTTCATTTTGCATTCAGTGTTTAGCAATGCTCTTTCTAAATTTATTTTTCAGGTTTTCCCAAAATCTTTACAGTTCCTGTGGTGTGTTGATAAAATCCAGTTTAGAAGCAATATAATTTCTGTTATATAATTACTACCACCATGACCATTTTCGAGCTACCAAGATAAAGACAGCTGGCTCACAAAATACCTGAGTGCTTCCCAAGAGTCAGGGTGGGGCAGATGTAACACACATGCTTATTTCTTAGGTCAAATTTATAAAAGAGTTAGAGAATTCTAGCCTCTATTACTTATCCAACCACCCTGTGTTTCACCTTTCTTCTATATGCAACTGTTTTTTAAAACAAAAGTTTCAAAATTTTTTATAACATATATTATATACTGTAATATGTTATATATTATAATATATATTATGTGCTATTATAAATTATTATATATATTATATACTATTATAATATATATTCATTCTTATTCCCTCCTTGTTTCTTGGATAAATTACATTATAATACACACTTTATTTTGCTTCTTTTTTTTACATAACCATTTATCATGGAGATTATTGCATAACATTGTACAAA